GAAAAAAGTCAAGTGTAGGGTTGCAATATTGAAGGAGTCAGTGGACAAAATATTGAATGACATGCTGGTGGTGATGTGCCGTGGAATCAGCTGTAAATCTTTATGGGAGCGGAAAGCCTCATCTTCTGTGGAACAGCTGGTAGTTTTGAACTGCTGACCTTGAGACTAGCAGCCCAATTATGCTCCTTATTGGATGATATAGAAAGCATTAAAAGAAGGTGAAAGGAATGCACAGAGTCACTGTACCAAAAAGACTGGTCAATTTTCAGCGATTTCAAGAGGTAGCATATGATAAGAACCAACGGTACTGAAGGATGAAGTCCAAGCTGCATGAAGGCACTGGCAAAAAAACAAAGCTCTAGAAAGTGACTGAACACAAATTGAAATGTTTCAACAAACAGATTCAGTGCTGGAGTTGTTCACTCATCTGTACAAAGAAATTTGGAAGACAGCTACTTGACCAACCGATTGGAAGGCATCTTTATTTGTGCCCAGTCCAAAGAAAGGTGACCCAATGGAATGTAGGAATCATAGAACAATATCATTAATATCACATGCAAGTGAAGTTGTGTGACGATAATTCAAAAACAGTTGAAGTATATCAACATGAAAGCTGAACTCAGAAGAGGTTGTGGAACAAGGGCTATCATTGCTGACATCAGAGAATCTTGGTTGAATGCAAAGAATAACAAAAAGATGTTTACTTGTGTTTTATTGACTATGCAAAGGCATTTGACTGTATGGATCATGACACGTTATGGACAATACTGCGAAAAATAGGTATACCAGAACACTTTAAGTGTGCTTACGAGGAACCTGTACATAAATTAAGAGGCAGTCATTCTAACGGAACCTGGGGATATGATTGTGTGGTTTAAAATCAGGAAACATGCGTAAGGGTTGTATCCTTTTACCATACTTAATGTGTATGCTGAGCAAATCTGAGAAGCTGAACTATATGAAGAAGAACATGATATCAGGAATTTAGGAATTCCCGTCAGGAATTTAGGAAGACTCATTAACAACCTTAGCTATGCAGAGGACACACCTGTGCTTGCTAGAAGCCAAGAGCACTTGAAATGTTTACTGATGAAGATCAAATTATATATTACATGTAAAGAAAATAAAAATCTTCACAACTGGACCAATAAATCATGAAAAATGAAGACCAGATTGAAGTTATGAAACACTTCATTTTGCTTGGATCCACAATCAACACTCGTGGAAGCAGCAGTCAAAAAGTCAAAGTATATATTGCGTTAGACAAATCTTCTGTTAAAAAAAACCTCTTTAAAGTATTAAAGAGCAAAGATGTAACTTTGTGGATTAAGGTGTACCTGATTCAAGCCATGGTATTTTTAATTGTCTCATTCCATGCCCAAATTGGACAGTGAATAAGGAAGACCAGAGAACAATGGATGCATTTGAATTACAGTGTTGACAAAGAATATTGAAAGTCTCATGGATTAACAGAAGAACAAACAGGTCTTGGAAAAAGTACAGCCAGAAGGCTCCTTAGAAGTGAAGATGTCATGGCTTAATCTCTCATACTTTGGACATGTTGTCAAGGAGGGACAAGTCCCTGGAGTAGGACATCAGGCTTGGTCAAGTAGAAGGTTAGCAGAAAAGAGGAAGACCCCCAAGGAATGGATTGACACAGTGGCAGCAACAGTGGGCACAAACATAACAGTGGTGAGGATGGTACCAGACTACGCAGAGCTTCCTTCTTTTGTACAGTGTGTTGCTATGAGTCAACCCAACTCGAGGCACCTAACAACAACTGAGACTTGCTAATGGACTTAAACACATCAGTGATCTCAAGGATGATGTAGGACCAGGCAACATTTCATTATGTCATACGTAAAGTCGCCATGAGGCAGAGACGACTTGACAGCAACGAACAATAGCAATTAATTAAGATCTGGAGACCACCACCCCTGAGAAAGTTCTTCTCTGCTTTTGAGTCACTGACCACACCTGAAAATGTTCTTCTCTGCTCCTAAGTCCACTGGCCACCCTGAGGACATTCTTCTCTGCTCTTGAATCCACTGGCCACACCTGAGGACGTTCTTCTCCACTCTTGAGTCCACCGGCCACAACTGAGGACGTTCTTCCTCACTCTGAGTACACTGGCCACCCCTGAGGACGTTCTTCTCCACTCTGAGTCCAGCGGCCACACTTGAGAATGTTCTTCTCCGTGCTTGAGTCCAACAGCCACACCTGGGAACGTTCTTCTCAGCTCTTGAGTCCAGCGGCCACATTTGAGGACGTTCTTCTCCGCTCTTGAGTCCAGCGGCCACACCTGAGAATGTTCTTCTCCGCTCTTGAGTCCAACAGCCACACATGAGAATGTTCTTCTCCGTGCTTGAGTCCAGCAGCCACACTTGAGGACGTTCTTCTCCTCTCTTGAGTCCAGCGGCCACCCCTGTGGCAGGCAGTGAGTCATGCTTCTCAGCTGTGCACGTTCTCTCTGTTCCCTTTCCTCATCTTCTAAGGACTCTTCCTGCCATCCACAGAATGATGGTTCCCATTTCATCACCATGAATTTTTTTGATGAAACATTTACCAACTCAACAATTAGAACCTTTACAATTGTGTGACGCTGAGGATGTGCATCCTTTTGTGCAACCTAACCTTTTTCCAAATGACCCCACCACCCTTATAGAAACTCAGCGTGCCCTCAGTGTTCCCTGCCCCACCTGCCCACTGGTCTCTGCATGTTTACCTGGATGGGCCCTATCAGTAGGATCTGACATTTGTCTCATTGTGTCTTTTTTGCTCAATACCATACCGTCAACGTGCATTCAATATGTAACATGCATCAGAACTTCATTTCTCTTGACAATGAGTCACATTCCATCATAAGTGTGAACCCCGTTTCATATATCAATTCATCTGCGGATGGGCAATTAGGTGTTTTCCACATTATAACTAATGCTGCAATGGACATTGGCATCATCATTTTATCATGAACTTGAGAAAGGGGCAGAAATACAATGTCTACATTCCCTGACTAAATCCTCCAGGAGGTAGCCTGGAGTATACAGTAGGAAACTTTGTTGTGACCCTAATGAATTTTAATTGTGGGGCCATTTGGAAAGAAGGGTTAGTTTGGATAATACCCATATTCTTGACATTTGATTCAGAGTAAACCAAAAACTAAATCCATTGCTATTCAATCGATTGTGACTCATAGCAACTCTATCAGGTTAAGACTGCCCCGGAGGGTTGCCACGACTGTAAATCCTCCTGGAAGCAGCCTGCCACATCTTTCTCCTACAGATCAGTGGGTGGATTGGAACAAGCAAGTTTTTAGTTAACAGCAGAGCGCTTAATCACGGCACCACCAGCTTGCCTTTGGTTCAGAGTGCATACAGTAACAAAACAAAACATTAGCAGAACAGCAATTGTTGTTGAATACCATTGAGTCGGTTCTGACTCATAGCAACCCTGTATAGGGTTTCCAAGGAGCGGCTGGTGAGCTTGAACCACCGACCTTGCAGTTAGCAGTCCAGTAATTATCCTACAGCACCACACCAGGATTCCAATAAATGCATATTAATATTGCTTTTCAGAAAGCCCCCAGCTTATTTTCTACATTAACAACTGTGGTTGGCGCGTCTGGATTTGCAATAGATTGAAATTCTCTGGGTGCTACCATAGTTCCACATGGAGAATATGATTCTGACTTATGTTTTTCAGTACTACCTGATACTAAAAAAAATAACTGAGAAAAGAATGTTTAGTAAAACATAAAAAAAAGAGATCACAATCATTTCTTATATAAACCAAAGTGAACATACATTTCATATGTCTCCCAGTAGCTAGAAAAACCATGTATTACAAATGCCAAATTCTAGAAGGATGAGAGGCCAGTGACAGAGCTTGTTTGGGTAAGGACATGTGCTCAGGACCTCAGGGAGGGGACATTTCGGTATAACCACCTGGGTCGAGGGTTGGAAAGAAATGACAAGAGGAATGATGTGTCATGTGGTTCATCGGTGACCACCTTCCTGCTGGACATCCATGAGTGACCCTTCCACGCTGCTATGTCCACAGTCCAATTCAGACTCCCTTCATAAGGGGATTCTCTTTTTATTAGGGGGAGGAGGGGAGTCCCTTTTTTTAAAATTGTGATGAAAACATACACAGTAAAACATACACCAATTCATCACTTTTACATGCAGTTCAGTGACATTGATGATATTCTTCAAGTGGAACAATCATGCTTGCTACCCTTCTGCAAATCATTCCACCATCAGGAACATAAACCCTTGCCACCTGAGCACACTCTCCCCCTGCCCTCTCTCCCCAGCTGTGGAGATGTGCGTATTTCATATAAGTGAGACCATACAGCATCTGGACTCGGCCTCTCAGCCTCTTTCCAAGGTCCGTCCATATTGTCACATCAGGATTCAGTTCTCTGTATGACTGTGGACCATTCCGTTGTGTGGATGGACAACACTGTTGATCCATCCGCTGTTGACAGACATTCCTGTGGTCGCCACCTGTTGGCTGTTGTGAGTGTGTACAGAGGACTTCTTTCCTGTGACTTCCTGTGTACATGGCAATGTCTGTGGTCTGTCCATGCCAGCGAGGCTGGGAACGAGGAAGCATGGAGATCCTGGTGCCTGGTCCACCTTCTTCCCACCAGAAGCACCCACACTCTCCCTGTGCTGTCCAAGCTCTGCCCTGTCCCCACTGTGTCAGTCCACCAAGGACACATCTTGCTTCATCAATGTAATGACTTGGGCAGGAAGCATGGAGGGTTTCGGGTGCTTCAGAAGAAAGGTCTAACCATAACGCAACCTCTACTGCCTTGATCGCCAATAATCAAAGCTCTGTTACTGCTGAAGGTCCATTTCCCCAAAGCCCCAAAAGCCCCCACTACACAGTGCTGAACACCCTTCCAGGGTCCCTGCTGCCTGGGCACATCGAGCACGTCTGTGGCGTATCCTCGGCTATCCTCAGCTGCTCCAGGGCAGACCCAGCCTGTCCCCCTATGGTCCCTGGACTGAGTCCTTTGTCAGCAGCTGGTCCCCACAACAGCCGAGACCTCCGCTGCTCTCAGCATCCCCGAGACTGCCCTGTAAAGTCTTGCATGTGGCTGCATATGCCATCGCCGTTAGGAACTCTTGGTAGGGAGGAGGGGCCTCTGGCTGGGCGTGGACATCAAGGCCCAGCTCTGTGTACATCGGCGGAGGGATCTCCCAGGTCTGCTTCACCGCACCCGGGCTCTCTTCGTAGGCAGGAGGGTAGAAATCTGGCCTGGATGACAAAACACACAACAAACACACTTATTGAAGTGATGTGTGGCAAAGTGGCAGACGTCTGCCTCTCTCAGCCCACCTCACGTGAAGCGAAGCTGTTAGCATTCATCCTGAAAGAGATACACTTCCTGCCTGGCAGCGACCCCTCGTCCTGCACGTGCTGCTCCTTAGACAGAAGTCTCTTGTCCTCCACAGGGTCCATTTCTCCAGTCTACTTTCCCCTGGCTAGACCTAAGTTTCCAGAAGAAAGGCCTGACGATCTTCTTCCGAAAATCAGCCAATGAAACCCCTAGAGAGCCACGGTGATCTGATCCCCATGGGGTCCCGTGTGTCAGGGGCTGACTCGGTGGTAGCCCACAACAGCATTCTTAGTTTTTCTCCACCCGTCTACCAGTGTGTTGTGCTGTGGCGGCTGGTATGTTGCTGTTCCGTTGGAAACTATGTAACGGATCTTTCAATACCAGCAATGTCACCCGTGATGATCAGGTTTCAGTGGAACTTCCAGACTAAGGCTAGGAAGAAAGACCTAGTGATCTGCTTCTGAGAATTCGCCTGTAGAAACCCTAAGGATCACAGAGAGCCTTATCTGATAGAGCGCTGGAAGGAGACGTAAGGACCATAGCTGTAGAACCCTGTCTATACAGTGATGAAGTAAATTCTAATCCTCGTCATCCTTTAGTGCATGTCCTCACAGCCAACCAAAGAATGAAGGAAAACCAACTGCAGGCGGGTCTCAACGCTGCCCTTCCCCATCTCTCCTTCAAATCTCAGCAGCTAGTTGCAAATCAAACGGACAGCTACGTTCATTCCCCAAACCGTTTCCACAGGCAGTTTTATGGGGACTGCAGCTGCCACCCCTCAGTGCCAACAGGCTCCTGGCTATGCACTGTGTCACCCAAGGGCGATGGCCTCCTGGGTAACCCCGCTCAGTGCTGACTCCATCTGGGGTGGGGTGGGGTGAGCTCAGCAGGTTGTGTATTTATAGAGTGAGTGTCGCTGGTGACTTCGGGGCGTGTTTATGGTGAGTAACCACAACAGAACATTGTAGCCACAGGTCCCCTCCAAATATCACCGGGCCCCAGGCCAACCAGCCAGAGCTGCTGGCCACTGTAAGAGTAAATGTCAGCCTTTATCCGAATGATGGGAGCTGCTACATTGCTGGGCAACAGGAAAGGTGTTGCCAGCAGAGAGGTAAACTCCTGCCTGGAGTGATTGGAGAGGATCTCGGGCATCTATCTGTTACCTGCTCCACAGCCCAGTTTCCTGACACTACCATTCACAATCCCGGGACTCTACCATTAGACATTTGTTTATTTGGATGCCTCAACCTGGGTACCATTTTGAATGCAAATAAAAGAAACGCAAGCCTGTAGCCTTTGAGTTGCTTCGAGCTGTTGCTGACTTGGTGAGTTACAGAGCAGAACTGAGCCCCTCAGGGTTTCCTTGGCTGTGATGTTGGTACAGAAACACATCACCAAGCCCTTCTTCCTCAACACCACTGAGTGTTTGCACTGCCAACCCTTCAGCCAGTGGTGGTTGTTAAGTGTCATCAAGTTAGTTCTGACTCACAGCGGCCCTGTATAGGGTTTCTGAGGAATGGCTGATGGGTTTTAATTGCCAATCTTGTGGTTAGTATTCCGGTGCTTATCCTACAGCACCACACCCGGAGTCCCAAATGAGGACCCTATCAATATCCTGTACAGTAGAGCTGTATGTGGCTGTTAAGTCAGTTCTGAGGAGCGGATTGTGGGGTTGAACCACCGACCTGACTGTTAGCAGTCCATCACAAATCATTTGTACCACTTAGGGCCTACATATACATACATCACCAAGTCCATATTATCCAATGACTGATCCTTCCCCTGTGCTCGACAGCTGGTGAACTTGAACTGCCGATCTTGCGGTTCAAAGCGACATTGTAGTACAGCGCATTAACCCACAGTGCCACACCAGGACTCTAGAAGAATGCATACCTCTATGATCTATGACTTCTTACATATCAGGCTTACTAATTAGTATAAATAATTACTAATTAGTAATAAGTATTAGGGATTCTGGTGTGGCGCTGTAGGATAAGCACCCAACCTCAAGGTCAGTTCAAATTCATCAGCCACTCCTTGGAAACCCTATACAGGGTTGCTATGAGTCAGAACAGACTCAATGCCAGTTAGCAACAACAGTAAGTGTTAATAATAATTGTTTAATAGAGAATTAATTGTTGTCGTTGGTAATTACAAGTCAGTTCTGACTCATGGCGGCCCTGCATGTGCAGAGCAGAGCTGACCCACAGTATTTATTTACAAGGTTACCAGGGCTTGCTTTCTAAGTGCCTCTGGGTGGGTTAGAACCACCAAACTTTTGGCTGTCAATTGAGTGCTTGAATGTTTACATCACCCAGGGACTCCTTAATAATTAGTCAACTATTGATAAGTAGTAATGACTAATTATGAATGGGTATCACTCGTCTTTCAGTCAGTCGTACTGTAGGGTCCTGCATGTTGCTGCGAATCTGGACGTTATGCCGCCGGTATTTTGAATTCCACCAGGATTGCCCATGGTGGACAGGTTTCACATGAGCTTCCAGACGACGACACACTAGGAAGAAAGGAGAGATGGACTACTTCTGGTTGCTTATCCAGCAGAACATTGTCAGATATAGTTATGGAAGGTGAAACTATGAATAGCAACAGAACACTGTCAGATGTAGTGCCGGAAGATGAGCCCCTCGGGTTGGAAGGCACTTAAAATATGACTGGAGAAGAGCTGCCTCCTCAAAGTAGAGTTGACGGTGATGATGTGAATGGAATAAAGCTTTCGGGACCTTTCTTTGTGGATGGGGCACAACTCAAAGTGAGGAGAAAAAGCTGCAAATACCCATTAATAATTGGAACATGGAATGTACAAAGTATGAATCTAGGAACATTGGAAATTGTCAAAAATAAAATGGAAGGCATAAACATTGATATCTTAGGCATTAGTGAGGTGAAATAAACTGGTATTGGCCATTTTGAGTCTGACAAACACAAGGTTTACTACACCAGGAATGACAAATTGAAGAGGGATAGCATCGCATTCATAATCTAAAAGAACATATTCAGAACAGTCATGAGGTACAACGCTGTCTGTGATAGGATAATATCCATAAACCTACAAGGAAGACCAGTTAATACCAGTATTTATTCTAATTTATGCACCAACCACTAAAGGTAGTGAGGTTGAAATTGAGGCATTCTACCAAATTCTTCAGTCTGAAATTGATCAAACATACAATCAAGATGAATTGATAATTATAGGTGATTGGAATGTGAAGGTTTCTAACAAAGAAGAAAGATCAGTTATTAGATAATATGACTTTGATGATGGAAAGAGATCACATGATAGAATTTTGTAAGACCAATGAGTTATTCACTGCAAATACCTTTATTAAGCAATATGAATGATAGTTATACACATGGACCTCACCAGATACCATACACAGAAATCAAATTGACTACATCTGTGGGAAGAGATGGTGGAGAAGATCAATATCATCCACCAAAACAAGGCCTGGGACAGACTGTAGAACAGACCATCAACTGCTCATAATGCAAGTTCAGGCTAAAGCTGAAGAAAATTAAATCTAAGTCCACAAGAGCCAAAATATGACCTTGAATTTAGAGATCATCTGAAGAACAGATTTGGTACATTAGAAACTAAAGATTAAAGACCAGGAGAATTGCAGGATGATATCAAGAACATCCTACAGGAAGAAAACAAAAGGTTATGAATGAAGACAAGAAAGAAAGAACAGGCCAAAATGGATATCGAAAGAGATTCTGAAACTTTTCCCCCAGAGTAGAGATGCTAAAGTGAATAGAAGAAATGAGGAAATAAAAGAGCTGAACAAAGGTTTTCAAAGGACAGCTCAAGAAGATAAAGTCAAGTATTATAATGAACTATGCAAAGACCTGGAGTTAGAAAACCAAGAGGAAAGAACACACTCAACATTTCTCAAGATGAAAGAGCTGAAGAAAAAATTCAAGCGTTAACTTGAAATACTGAAGCATACTATGGGCGATCGGGAGTCCTGGTGTGGCACTGTAGGATAAACAATTGGCCAAATGAGTCAGAACTGACCTCCACGGCAGCTAACAACATGGGCAAAATATTAAATAATGCACTAAGCATCGAAAGAAAATGGACAGAATATACAGAGTTACCGTACCGAAAGAAACAGTCGATGTTCAACCATTTCAAGAGGTAGCATTTGTTCGAGAGCCAATGGTACAGAAGGTGCACCAAAGAACAAGGCTCCGGGAATTGATGGAATACAAATGGAAATCTCTCAAGAAACTGATGCAGCAATGGAGGCACCCACTCATCTACGCCAATACATTTGTACACAGCTACCTGGCCAACTGATTAGAAGAGATCCCTATTTGTTCCCATTCCAAATAGAGGTGACCCGCAGAATGTGGATATTATCAAACAATATCATTAATATCACATGCAAGTAAAATTTTGCTGAAGACAATTCAAAAACGGCTGCAACAGTACATTGACAGGGAACTTCCAGAGGTTCAAACTGGATTCGGAAGAGGACATGGAACAGGGATATCATCACTCGTATCAGCTAGATCTTGGCTGGAAGCAGAGAATACTGAAAGATGTTTACCTGTGCTTTATTGACTAATGAAAAAGCTTTCAAATGTGTGAATCATCTCATACTATGGATAATATTGTGAAGCATGAATATTGCGGAACACTTAGTTGTGCTCATGAGGAACCTGTACTTAGACCAAGAAACAGTCGTTTAAACAGAACAAGGTGATACTAAATGGTTTAAGATTAGGAAAGGTGTGTGCCAGGGTTGCGTTCTTTCACCATACTTATTCAATCTGTATGCTGCACAAATAATCTGAGAAACTGGATTAAATGAAGAAGAACATGGCATCAGGATTGGAGGAAGACTCATTAACACCTTGTGATAGGCAGATGATACAACCTTGCTTGCTGAAAGCGAAGAGGACTTAAAATACTTACTGATGAAGATCTAAGAGCACAGCCTTCAGTATGGATTGCACCTCAATGTAAAGAAAACAACTCGTCCAATAAATAACATCATGAATTTGGAGAAAAGATTGTGAAGTTGTCAAAGACTTCATTTTGCTTGGATCCACAATCAACACTCATGGAAGCGGCAGTTGAAATTAAAGATAGGGGACCAACAATACTAGTAAAGTCTGCTCACTATGGAATGGCCAAAAATATAAGATCAAAAGGGCAACATTTACCTAAGGACAAAGTTGAGAAAGGATGGGAAGGATGGTGGAATGGAAATAGGAACTATAGTGAGGAAGTGGGAAAACTGTTGTTACATGGAGGGGATTGGCAGCTAACATTCATCATTGAGATGAAACAAAGTGTGTGATTTGAGGAATGCAAAGGAGATAATCTGCTCTGTTAACGTCCACTTAATTCACACTAAAAAGTTTTGGTTTTATTTTATAATTTTGTTAAATAAATTAAACAATGTATTGCATTGGGCAAATCTGCTGCACAAGGTCTCTTTAAAGTGTTGAAGAGCAAAGATGTCAGCTTGAGGACTAAGGTGAGCCTGATCCAAGCCATGGTATTTTCAATAACCTCATATGCATGCAAAAGCTGGACAGTGAATAAGGAAGACTGTAGAAGAATTG